TTTGTGCGGCACCCACTGCATCATCCCCAAAGGCCTTCCGAGTCATCCAAAGAGTTTCTGCGAAGGAATGTTCAGGCTTAACGCAAAACTGGATGCAGATTCGTTGTTCTGCTCACGCAGTCGTTTTCAATGCGACAGCCACACAGTGCACGTGCTCACTCAATGGCATCTACCGCCCCCACTGACTCATACAGTGGACGTGTCATTGTGCACACATGCACATTCCAGCCCACACTCCTCGGCTGCCAGGTGACACTGATGCCATGCAAACCCTTCTTGTTACATTAACGATGGCTGGACTTTTTCCGGACAAAGGACCAAGAAGTAAAAGAAACACACGGAGACCTTGGCGAGAGAAAGCAATTATTGAAAATGCGAGGGGTCTGAATGCGAGAACATGTCTGAGGATCCTGCAAGGTAACCCTCACATTTCCCTGGCCAGTAATAGTGTGAAATGCAAAAACAGATCTTCTGTATTCACAAATGAGCAAAACAGGTACCGACAGCTCTGTCCCCGAGCAGGCACTGTGGGTTCTGCTGAGTGACTCCGCCACACCAGCTACTCCTCGCTAAGCTGGTGCACGCAACAGGCAACAACTATTTATAGCATCGCACTTGTATTTCTGAGACAGAGATGGGGTCTGCTCAGCCAGCGAAGCAGCAATGCGGCGGCGGGAGAATCCTGTCCGTGTGTAGCGGCTGGGGTTAGGGGGCTCTTTGTTCCCTCCTGCAGGACCTGGTGGGAAAAGGATGCTTTCTTCTGAGTTGACGTTGGGTGAGGGGAAGCGAGGGGAGAGGCAGCGAGAGCCCGGGGAGGAGACTCCGGCTGAGTGTGATTTATTAGATTATCCGTCGCTTCTCCACCCTGCCTTCCGCTGCCCGGGAGATTCTGATACCCGCCGCCTTCACTTTTCAGGGTCCGTGGACTGAACCCTGAACTTGGGTCTGAGGGTCTCTTCCGTAGGAATGACATACATTGATCCTGCAATAGTCCCGGACCCTAAGTGACCACTTGGCTCTTTAGAAATAGAATCGTGGTACCTTTACCAGAAGGACAAAACCTGCTCTTGGTTCAATTATTGTTTTGTTCTCTTAGATTGTTTTATGGTTAAGTTTTTTTCTTTAATCTAAGTATAGTTGGCATACAATATTAAATTGGCAATATTCATTTCAGGCATGCCATGTAGCGATTTGGCATTTTTATGTCTTATAATGTAATCACACCACTGATTCTCGTGGTCACCTGTTTATTTTTAATAGAAACAGGAAGCAGAATGCGAGGGTTTTACGTCAGGTGATGGAAGCCAGGCACCGAGCCCCTAGTGGGAGACCGTGCGTGCAGGGCGCCTGTGGAGGTCACACTTGTGGGGGGCGCAGGGCCAAGCTCCACAGGGCGAAGGCGGTGCTTTCTGTGTGACGTGGTTTGGGGACACACAGGTGTGTGGATTGGCCAAAACCCAGCCAGTGCACACTTAAGATTTATATAACGCTAACCTCAAATGAAAAAGAGGGTAAGCACAGAGTAGACTCTGTCTAATGAATGAAAGCTGAAATATTTAGGGGAAGCACTAACACCCGCAAGCTATAGTGTTTTTATGTTGCTAGACTTAATGTCACATGAGAGTGTCTCGTGTACTTATTTTAGTGCAGCTGTGCTGGAAGATGGAAAGAAAGGGAGGATACGTCTGCTGCGTCCTCACACGGGGACCTCGGGCCGGGAGCTTCGGCCCCCTGTGCCTCAGTCTCCCCCGTGCGAGTGGAGACTGCGTGCCTGGGACAGGGCGCACATTCGAAAAATGGTACTTGGTAGTGGGGGGCGGGGAGGAGGTGGGAGAGGGTGTACGTGGAGAGATGGTGATGGGGAAGAACACAGTGCAATGGAAATCATGCCTTAAAAAAACATTCACGCAGCATTATTTTCAATATTGGAGGGAGAAAGAAAATTTCATTTCTAGCTAGTATCAAAATTCATTATATATTTTTTCACCTTAAAATTCCTTCAATTAATAATTTTGAAACCAAAGTCTTCATTATAGGAAAATGTTTTACATCATTCTTTGCAGAAACTGGGGTGAAGAATTAGACATCGGGGCGCATGGCAGTGGGACGGGGAGACGTCTCTGCGGCGCTGTTCCCACAAGCTGTCCGGGGACCCCCAGCCCGCCTTGTCGTCCCTGGGAAACGGCGCTGGCGTTGACGCGGCAAACTCGGCTTCTCCTCGAGGCCGGCTCAACACGCAGACCCCTCAGACCGCCTCCCGCCGCTCAGAGCCCGAGCCCCCAGGTGCCCACACGGAGGGCATGTCCTCGGCGAAGGCTGGCCGTGTGGGGGTGCACACGCGTCCTGCCAGGGAGCACGGCCGGGCAACCTGCGCTGGCGCAGCGGAGACTCTCCCAAAGACTAAACAGCCAAATGAACAGCAATAAACGGAATTTGCACATTAGATATGCTTTTCCAAGTTCCGGCATTTCCGTTGAAAATAATGCTGAAGCAATGAGGCCTATAATTGAACATCCGAAACTTCTCCGGTGGGGAAACAAAAACAAATGTCACCAGCAAACAAGATCATTTTTATAGCCCGCTGTTTCTCTGCTTTTTAATAATCTGTCGAAGGCCAGATCGAATGATTTCCCCTCTTAGGTGATTTTCATGCACCTCTTGGTGTAAGTCACATTGTAATCGTAACCCAAGTCCTTCAATGTGAAACCCACCAGCTCTCTCCCCCGCGGCTCCCTCTCTGTGCCTGTGGAAAATGACACATTCCGAGACATGGGGCGGCCCCGCCCCCGGCGCGGCTGGCGCTCCCTGCGCGCCTGACGCCTGCGTGGGAAGGGCCTCCCGCTGCTGCACCAGCGAAACAGACATTCACGTGCGCGGGGCAGGCGACTCCCGAATCCTCTGAACTCAGATAAGCCTTATCAGCTAAAAACTAAGCTGGAAAACATCTTGCTCTTGTAACTATTATCTTTTTACAAGCTCTCGAACAAGGACATTTCTTGCATGACTGAGGCTGATAAAGAAATTCAAGGAGAGATGATTGTTTTGTCAGCTTTACTGAAATTTCTCATTTGCTCTTTACCACGCTATTACCAGGAGGTCACTATATGCCGATTTTGGTGTGAGGAACGAAATTATATTTGGCTGAGCAATGCCAATCCGATGGGGGTACGAGAGGAGGACACGCCCACACACGCAACTGCTTTAACAAACAACCAGGTGCCTGCGCTCTTAAGAGTCAAGAAAATGGTCGAACAGAGGCATATACTATTATAATGCAGAGTCGAGTCCCTGCGGACTTGGCAATATCACAGACCAATCACAGTTCTTCCCTCCCAGTAGCAGCGGAGATCCCGGCGGAAGGCACAGCCACGCTGCACACCCGAAACAGCCGCTGCGGCCTGAGGGCTGGGCGCGCCCCGTGCCCCCGGGGTCCTCCTGGCTGGCGAGCCTCCTTGCTCTCTCTCCCGTTAACGACTCGTCAGCCGCAGCGTCGCCCCCGAAGGCTCCAGACCCACGCGAGGAAGAGACACTTCTCATCAGCTCGGTCGACTCGGGAACTGACTTCTTCCTAATCTCTGGTGCGAAAGGACCTCCCACATTGTGTTTTAGCAGCAAAACCATCGGTCCGGCTCACGCAGCCCCGGGAACTCTCTTGGACAGCCTGCCTTTCTACTGCTGAGGTCTCCCGCCCCCCTTTTTCATACCTGAACCCCCCACCCTGGATTTCTCCATCCTGGGAAAGGCGAAGGGCAAAGGCTCTCTGCCCTCCGCAGGTCTCGGCCTGCTGCTGTGCGTGCGCGCTAGGCGAATGCGGCCCCGCCCCTTCCCCATCTGCAAGGAGGACCGCATCTCCCTTCCTCTCCATTTATGGACGTGCGGTCCCTGCCGACCAGGCTCTCACACTCGTCAGTGTGGGGTGCTGCCAAACATGCACCGGAGAGACACCCTGTCATTCAACGTAGCCCACACTCCTCGGAGCATTAAGTCCACCTCTGTCTTAAAAATCTGATGACCATACGATGTTAAGAAAGTGAAGTTTGCAGAATGCGTCGCACTGGTTGACACAAGGTACACGGGTCCCATTTTCCCGGGCATTTCAGACAATTGTCGGCAGGAAGGCGGGGACCGCGCTGGCAGAGATACCGCCGGGGCGGCGGCGGTCGGGCCCCGGGGCAGTGGGAAGGGTAGCTGAAGGGCACCAGCGAGCTACTTTTTACCAATACATTTATTTTCAATAAGAAATGATGATAAAGCACCCATGGCTGAATTTAATCATCTGGGCTTCATTAGCCGCTTAAACTCCTTTACCAAGACCATCATTTTTGTCATCCGGGGGGCAGTGAGACGTGGCTCCCGGCGCTCAGGCTGGCCTGGTGAGCCCGGCCCCGGACGGCCCGGCGGCCCAGCCAGGGAGCGGGCGCCGCCTGCCCGCGCTGCGTGCCCGCGCCTTCGGCCTGATGCCTGCAGGCCCCCCCGCACACTGTGGGAGGCCCTGGTCACTGTGACGGCAGTCTGTCAGTGACCTGCCGGACACTAACGCTGTGACTTTCTCCTCTTTGACACGAACTGCTCAGTAATGTGTGAGCAGGAGAGCCTGCCTCGCCCCCTCTGTGTACCTGGAATTGTAGAAATGAACGGGCCGGTTATGAACCAGGCAGCCTTGTACCCAGGTAAAAAGTTCCTACACAATCAGAGTTTCGGAAAAACATTTTCCATGGACTTTGTCAACGTCCACGGCCCCCAACACTGAGGCATTTGTGAAGGGTTAGGTATTTTAGGTGCCGGGTTTAAATCTATGTCATCGCCTGCTGGCATTTTGACCACTAAGTGCTCACCTATGTTCACGCGGGCCTGGGAGGCCACGGGGAGAGAGCGCGTGCCGCTCGTGAACGCGGGACACAGCTCCCATGTTTCCCTCACACAGGGCGTGACCTGCGAGGGCGGGCGCGGTGCGCCCCTGCGCCTCCCGGGCTCAGCAGCCTGACGCGGGGCCCAGGTACCTTTCACGACGAGGCTGCCGGTGCTCTTGGCCACGCCAAACTGGTTGGTCGCCACGCAGGTGTAGGGGCCCGCGTCTGACCTGGTCACGTTGTGTATCTTCAGGCTGCCGTCCTCTAAGAGCGACACCCTGAAAGGAAAACACGACAGGAGTGGAAGGCAGGCCCTTTGAAATCGAGGTCCTCCGCGCATGCGTCCATTTTAACACGTTACTCAGCCGTGGGTGTTGTTGACGAGAGGAATGTGTTCTATTCCTCGCACTGAGCTCTCCAGTATCAGAGTCTCGGAGGCCGCACGTTAGAGTGAATGCCATGCGCTCGCATTCCGAGACGGTACTGATAATTACCAGGCTGCGCCCGGAGTGAGCATCGCTGATGTCAAAGCACATTAAAAATCAGACGAGAGCTTGATTAGTAACAAATGCAACTATTCCCTGAACGCTTCCGAAAGCCCGCTCTCTGGGGAAGGCGGAACTTGGTGTTAGAAGAGCAGAGGTCAGCTTTCGCGCTGCGCAGGCTGCGGTTTTACCAGCCTGCTCCCATTTGTCCCCTCCAGCCTCCAAACAGCAGGGCGCGCAGCCATGACGGTGTTTGCCGGTGGAGCCTTGAAGGGCCACCCACACGGTTCTGTAGCCACACGCTGCCATTGTGGGGCCCAGCGGAGCAGAAAGGAGGAAGGCTTCCTGAATCAGGCCTACGGAGGCGCCCTTCAAATGCATGCACTCTTACCGTGCGCCCTGAGGGACGGCTAGTTAAGAAGTCCCAATCTTTCAAAAAATGATTCTTGCTATATTTTCCCTGAAACTTAAATATAGTCAAGAGCAAACACCGGAATGCTGTTGTAAGGGGGCAAACTCTGAGACTGGTTTCTTGACAAAATCACCTTCAAATGTTTTTATAAGGACACACACACACACGAAAAACAAAGCATATGCCCATTTTATGTCTTATACATTTAATCAGCCACCTGTAAAAACACACCGCTGAAAAACGAGCGGTTATCCAGGACTGTACAAAGATAAGGGGTGAAAACAAGTTTTTGAGGCCAATAGTTCTGAAGAGCAGACAGTTGTTAGACGCATCACGTCCATCACCAACAACAAAATAGCATTTGTTGCAGCGCAAAGATACCGTCGTTTCTAATATGTGTTACATGCAATGCAACTAATATAATTAATTACCCAATTTGAAACACAGTGCATATCCGTCAACTGCAGTTTGTATAAAACCGGCTACTGCGGCTGGGTGGGTTATGCGCGACGCGTCCTGCGCTGTCATTGGGTTAGAGAAGGGGGCTGCCTCTGGGGCCCGGGGGTTCGTGGTGCGTCATCGGAGTGTTTAAAGTCATTGTCTTGGACTGCTGCCCGACAGCAGACATCTGATATCTTACTCAACTCCTGAAACGTCTGGTTTCTGGATCCCAATTCACATTAACAACCGGATCATGCAACCGCTGACACAGGAACAAGGCTACGGCGCGAGGCCGCGCGTGTCTGGCCAACTGCGCTGCTTTAGCTGCTGCAGTTCAAAGAAGTCAAATTGAGGAGGTTTGTGTGCCTCACCTACTTCTAGATTGAGGAATAATTAAGAATTTTCAGCCACATAAAGCCATTACATTTTGTCTAATAAAACATTTTAAAAGAACAAAAACCACATCTGCTGATATCTGAAGGCCCTCTGACAAATTTTCCAGCTAGTAATGCCGGTTGATGTATCACGTAACTGTTTCCTTAACTTTCAGAAAGGAACAATCCCCGTTAACAAGCGCTGTTGTTACCCTGAGTGCGTCTCCCTTCCCCGGATCATAGTATCTGTCCAGTGATGCTGCTTAAATTGAGTGAGAAGTGCCGTTATCGACGCTGCTTATTTCTTCTGGAATCTTACGCGACGTTTCTCAAGCGCCTGGTGTCTGAGGAATACCGAGGGCGCCGACCGCTGAGGAAAGCTGAGGCTGGCCAAGGCCGAGCCACGCGTGCCCGTCGGGAAGGTGGGGTGTCCTGCCCCTGTGTCGCCGGCCCCCGCACGCTCCCCACAGCCGTGGCCTTGCTGCCAGGAAGCTAAGTCTGCGTGTTCACGTGATACTCGAGAAGCTCCTGCTGAGCTGTCTTTAGACGCCCTCAGAGAGTCTTAGGACTTTGTTTCTCAAAAGGTGACTCAAACTTTACATTTTGCAAGAAACTGAGTGATTGGTATGCACAATAAAATTTGAGAAGTACTGATCAATTCATTATGAATCAAACCAAGGATAGTCTATAGAGATTATCTTTATTTCTAAGATTATCCATCTTGTTTTCATAAGATCAATATGCAAAAACATATATAATAAAAAGCTAGATTTAAATGATTCATGAAATTAAACAAATAACCAAGCTGATTTATAATTTATTTAAAAATAGATTAAACAATAAATCTCCCTAGTGACCTAGGATATATGATCCAGATATTTAACTCTAACTGCAAATGTTATCACATGATCGGAAGTATGAATATTTCAACTTATCATTTAATGTTTTTTTGATTAATAAGAGATTTTAAAATGTAGCAAGAAAACTTAATCTGTGACAATGTAGATGGGGGCCAAACCACCTAATCAGAGCCCTGATTTTATGTAGAAAAATCAAACAAAAAATATTGAAGAAAAGTGAGAATACCCAGTTCTGTCAAACACCAAACCTGGTTTAGCAGAAATTATTTTTAAAAATCCGTATGAGACCAAGTTGTACAAAACTATTGACGTTTGCAGATAAGGAAGGGTGCACGTGTAAAATTAACTGCAACATGTTAATTGATGATTTTGCTAACATTCATGGAGAATAATACTGATTTTTTTCTATTCTTTTTGTAATATTTTAGAATATATTTTCATTGTATCTAGGGGGCTGAAAAGGACATATAAATACAATATATCAAAATATTATATCTTTATTTCCTATAAGCATCTCTGGCACGCAGCCAAAAAGGTTGGCTGTCTGAAAACAAGGGGAAAATACAATCATTTTGGTGATAAAAATGGAGATTTGCATGAATAATTTTGACCTGAAGTGAGTCTCTTGTAGGCAACATATAAAAGGGTCTTATTTTGTTATTCAATCACCCTACGTCTTTTGAATAGAGGATTAATCCACTTGCATTTAAAGTAATTGTTGATCTGTATTTATTGCCATCTTATTATTTATATTTTTACTGGTTTTTCATCCTCAAGAAAAGATCCTTTAACATTTCTTATAATACTGGTTTGGTGGTGGTGAACTCCTTTAGCTTTTTTTTTTTTTTTTTTTTTTGTCTTGGAAGCTCTTTATCTGTCCTTTGATTGTAAATGACAGCTTTGCTGAGTAGAGTAATCTTGGCTATAGGTCCTTGCTCTTCATCACTTCGAATATTTCATGCCAATCACTCTGGCCTGCAAAGTTTCTGTTGAGAAATCAGCTGACAGACAGTCTTATGGGAGCTCCCCTGTAGGTAACTAATTGATTTCTTCTTGCTACTTTTAATTCACTTTGTCTTTAACCTTTGCATTTTAATTATAATTTAATGTGTTTTGCTGTGGACCTTTCTGGATTCACTTTGTTTGGGACTTTCTGTGCTTCCTGGACTTAAGGTCTATTTCCTTCACTAGGGTAGGGAAGTTTTCTGTCATTTTTTCATGGATTTTCAATTTCTTGTTCTCTTTCTCTCCTTCTGGCTCCTCTATGACGTGAATGTTGGTGTGCTTCAGGTTGTCCCAGAGGCTCCTTTTACTATTCTTTTTTTTTTCTTTTTGCTGTTCTGATTGGGTGTTTTCTGCTTCCTTATCTTCCGAATCTCTGACTTGATTCTTGGCTTCATCCACTCCACTGTTGATTCCCTGTAATGTATTCTTCATTTCTGACTGGTTCTTTTTTATGGTTTATATCTCTGTTTTTATGTTTTCTCTCTTTTTGCTGACATTCTTAATAAGTTCATCTACTCATCCCTAAGTTCACTGGTAATTCTTATAACTACTGTTTTAAACTCTGCATCTGGTAGATTCCTTGTCTCCATTTCATTTCGTTCTTTTCTGGAGTTCTGTTCTGTCCTTTCATTTGGGCTGTGCGCCTTTGCCTCCTCATTTTGGCAGCCTCCCTCTGTTTGTCTTTATGTATTAGGTCGAGCGGCTACATCTCCCAGGCTGGGTAGAGTGGCCTTATATAGGAGGTGTCCTGTAGGGTCCAGGGGCTCAGCCTCCCCGTCACCCGAGCTGGGCACCCCAGGTGTGCCCCACCTCGGTGTGGGCTGTGTATCCTCTTCTGCTGTAGTTGAGCCTTGATTTCTGTTGGCAGATTAATGAGAGGGATTCACCCCCCCAGGCCTATCGGCTGCAAGGACAGGCTGAGGCAACCATGGAGGGTCTGCTGTGCAGGGGCCAAGCCCGCGGGGCAGAGCTTAATGATACTTCAGTGGGGTTCTGAGTCGGCCGCTGAGCATGTCGTTGTGGAGGTTGTTGGGTGGGGCTTTCGTGTGGCCGGAAGCTTTCCACTTGGCGTACTGGCTCTGGGGCCTTCTGGGAGGTGCAGTTCAAGGTCGGCTGCCACCTGTGCCCTGCCCGAGGCCACCTGGCATGAGCTACGAGGCAATCTGGAATGGCCACTACTCATGCTGGGCTTGGGGTGCCAAGGAGAGGCCAGGCGGCAAACCGAGACTGGCTGCCACTAGTGCTGGGCCTGGGGACACTTAGCAAGAGACACAGGGCGCTGACGCCCGCTGCTGCTGTTCAGATTTTAGGACAGTCTGCAGCATGAGCCACGGCAGGCCTCTTGCATGGAAAAGCCACTGGAAATGGCTTGGGGGACCACTAGTTGGGTGGCAAGGGGTCTCAGGGGATCGCTGGTGCCTGTCTGCCGGCTCTGGTGGGAGGGCTCCCACGGCCTCAGCCAGCCCCCGCGTCCGAGAGATGGCTGCCCCTCCGGCTCGCGCCCTGAGGCCAGAGGACTCGGTGTCTCCCTGGACGTCCCCGGCGCCTCCTGAGCTGCTGTCCCAGCACCGGAGCTCAGAGCGAGTGAGTCCGAGTTAGTCCCTGCGTGGGCCCTTCAAGGGCCTGCCTGGGAATCCGGCTGTGCTGTGTCTCCCTCAGCCCCAATCCCCGTTGACTTCTGCAGCTGGAAGTCACGGGGAC